AGTCATCATCACCGTCGCCAACAATCAGAACCTACGTACACGAAAAGAAAAATTCATTCAGTTACAATCCAGCGAGACAAACGTGATACTACAAATGTCACGAGTGCTCGTCATCGACAACCTCGACTAAATCTACTGAGCATCAGCCAGCTAATGTCGAAGGGTATTCACCTGGAGTGTGACAGCTTCGATCGGGAGTTCCATCTCTACCATGGGAAGGGCAGTCTCTTCATCGGCAGAGCCATCTAGAAGCACGGCGTCTTTGTCTTGGACTTCGTTCCAGACCGCGAGACTGCTGACTACGATGGTGTCGTCTCCTTCGCGCCCTAGATGCACCCGCCGGATCTTTACCCCGAATTCGACTGCGACGGTTTCTGGTACTCCAACTCCATCCCTGAAGGAGAGAGCACACGGGCATTAGCGGTAATGCAGGAAGCAGAGGAACAAGAAGCCGAAATACAACACGCAGCAGAACCACAAGCGCCGACAAGACAACTTCCTGAAAGTCCCATCGCTGAGACTTTGTCGGCGCCACCCGTCGAAGCAATTCCGCCTGAGACGTCACCCGTTTATGAAACGCCGCCGATCGACGCCAAGTAGATGAAGGCACATCCTCGCGAGCAGCATCGAAGTGCCACGGCCATCTCCGCCTTCTATGCCAACTCAGATCTGTACCGCCGCTCTGTGGGACACAAGGCGAGCGAGGAAATATGGCATCAAAGGTCAAGACATCCTGGCAATTCAAGACAATTTGACACCATTCATGCGAACGTCGTGGACAAGGATGCTCTTCTACTTCTCGATGGTCGTGAACTCCGACAACCCCGACACACCTGCTTTATTTTCCCGGAAGAAGATCTTCCTCCTCAACAATTCCCGTCGCATCACAACCCGAGCGCACCAGAGTACGCTTCACTCGAAAAAGTTTATAGCGACATACTGTATATCCGCGAGAAGTCGGCCGGGCCGACCTCAACTACGTTATCACCTTCGTCGATGCCGTGACATGGTACACCTGACATCTTAACCTACGTCATGCGACCTCGCCTTCTTTGCCTTCGTCGCATGGCTTGCTGCCACAGAACGGGAGGGAGACACGAAGCTGAAAAGTTTTCAGTCAGACGGGGCATTTCAGATACAGCGATTCAGGGACTACCTTGCTGAGAGAGGAATCAAGAGGCTCGTCACCCTCCCCTACGCTTACTGTACCAACAGAATGGTGTAGCAGAGAGGATGAACAGGGTCCTCCAGAACACCATGAGGAAGCTGCTGACTGGGATGCGCTTGCCCAAATCGCAGTGGCTGGAGGCGATGAACCACGCCGTTATGCTGCAGAATATTTTGTCATCAAGCTCCCTGCCAAACAACGCATCACCGCATCTGGTGTGGACAGGGAAGCAGAGCAGCACGAGATTGTTGAGTGTTTGGCTGCATGGTACAGTACTGTCCGCACACTGCATGAGCTGGACGGTTTTCACAACAGGCAAGATGGGGCCTACACCTGGGTGTGGAAAAACACTACAAAGCCTGGAAGAATTTCGACGTGGAAAGATAAGGAAACAGTACCGGCACGTGGTGTGATTTTCTATGAGAACCTCATGCTCAACCATTACCTGGAGAACATCGCAGCAAATCAAGACCCATCCGGTGGTCTCACAGGTGCACGCGCGTTTGCTTCGACTGAAGAAGAAGCTGACCTAGAGGAGCAGAACGTCCCAGACGCTTCAGCAGCTGCAGGGCCACTTCCTTACTGCTCTGTCGACATGGACGAAGAAATTCCTCGCGAAAGCACGAACGCTGAAGCCTACTACCCCTTCACCGACACTGGTTATGTAACACCCAACAGCGTCAATGTCACAGGATCGAATGTGTCGAGGAAAGGTTGCACTATCAATCAGAACAAGGCGTTTTTATACTTCCAGAGTACATCAGGTAACCAGGTTTATCTTATCCTAAGCGAATAGACCCTTCTAGAAGATAGAATCACCCTGCGTATCGCCACGCGAGGCTATTGGCTTTAAGGGATTACGGCAAGATTACGCCAGATAGCGCACCAGTACATCCCAAGCCTGGTCGGTGATATAATTATAATAGCAGGATAAACTAATGGAAAATGGAGAATAGGAAATCAAATGAGATGGGATAAAAAGAGAAATGAAAGAGGAAGGAAATAAGAAAAGGGACAAGTGGTGTAACGGGGTCGTACTCTCACAGTCAACACCAATGTTTTAGAAAGAGTTGGACCAGGTTTCGTACCTGATCCTGAAGAGGGAGACGACGCAGACTATCTCAAGGATCCGACACTCCTCCGCTACACTGAGACTGGCTTGCAAATCCTCAGACTCATAGAAGCCGTGCATCCTCCGTTCTCAGCGCCGCCAGTCGAGGAGCCGAAGACTGCCAAGCGAGCACTGCATGGACCATACATGGAAAAATGGAGGGAGGCAATTGATCGAGAATTAGTGGCACTGCACGAGCGGAACACTTGGAAGCTGATACCGATTTCTCAGACCAAGGGGAAGACCATCCTCTCCGGGAAGTGGGTTTTCCGAGTGAAGACTAACGCAAATGGGACCATCGAACATTTTAAAGCACGATGGGTGGTTCGTGGCTTCGACCAGCAGGATGGCAGTGACTACACCGAGACCTTCGCTCCGGTCAGTCGCCACACTTCTCTCTGCATTCTTCTCGACGTCGTCGTCGCCTCCCGTCTTCCTCAGCGACAAATCGACATTGCCACCGTATTCCTCTACACGCCTGTTGATGCTGACATCTTCGTCAAGTAGCCACACGCCTACGTCGACGACCCAACACTCGTGCGCCAACTCGTCAAATCCCTCTATGGGATCAAGCAGGCCTTACGTCTGTGGCAACAATAACTGCACCAGATCCTCACCGCCATGGGCTTCGCCCAACTTCCCCATGACAAAGGCATGTATCGGCTATCGCGCAGAGGCGACTACGTCCTAATGATCGTCTACGTGGATGACCTGCTCTACATCGGTCCACCGCTTCCATCATCGTCTCGTTCGAAGGGGAGCTGGAACTCTAGCTCACGATCATAGTGCCACCGAACATGACGCAGTATCTCAGCCTCAACGTAACCGACGGCCCGGACGTCATCCACCTCTCGCCATCAAAGTACGCCGAGACCATCGCTTGGAGGTTCGACCTCTCCCCGCTTCCCCTCACTATTCCTTACACCTACGCGCCGCAATTTCCCGCGTCGACCGCCTCGCACCAGCCGGCATCCAGGAATATCAGCAGAAGCTGGGCTGCTTGCTGTTCGCCGTCGTCACCTGCCGTCCTGATCTCTCATACGCCGCTAGCCAGCTCGCTATCCACCTTAAGCGACCTGAAAGGGGGAATCTGCAAGAACTCGAACGCGCGCTCCACTACTTCATCTCGATCTCGACGATTGGCCTTACCTACCGCAAAAACGCTACTACCAAGACCGAATTTATCGGTTACGTCGACGCCGATCATGCCGGCGATAAAGACAACCGACGCTCACGCACCAACTACATCTACCGTCTGGAACCTATCGGCACTATCTCCTGACACTCTGGAAAAGAGGAACTAATCGCTCTCTCATTTGCTGAAGATTAATATATCGCCCTCTGCACAGCCACGAAGGAAGTATTGTACCTGCGCGAGCTGCTCGAAGAAGCGAAGATTGCCGAGTTACCCAGCTTCTCTCTCTACTGCAACAACCAATTAGCAATCAGAATCGCCAACAAAAACGGATTCGTGAACAGGATGAAGCACATCTTGCTTCGCTATTTTTTTGAGAAGAACGAGATCGAGCAGGGACGCCTCCAATCGGTCTACTGCCCCACCACTGAAATGGCAACCGATTACTTGACCAAGAAGCTAATGAAGTCGAAGTTCCACTACTGCATGCTGCTGTCTGGACTGCAACACGTCAGCAACCTCTACCACATCGACACTCCAGAAATGAAGGAGGGTGTTGGAAATGATAAAAGGACTTCAGGCATTTCCGGGGTCTCGCGTGAGTGTATGAATACGCGAAAACTGTAACAACGGGGATCACCGAGTCAACACGACTATAGTACTACCAACAGTTAACACATGTTGACGACACCCCGCAGAGGTTACGAAAGGGCAACGGTCGCAGACCGTTGACCGTGCAACCCAACAGTTAGAATCGGAAGAGTCAAGAGTCAGCGTGACACCAAGGACAAAAGACCGTCCCCGTATTACAGTACAGGTGGTTACCCGAGTCGCCTTATCGAGTCGTAAAAGGGAATGTAACCCTTGAAGTGCACAACCAGTTAGACTCTTCATAATCTCTTGTATTATTATATAAACCTTGTATCCCTTAGCTATAATCAATCACTTGTTCTCACATACCAGTACAAGGGTTCAACTCAAGACTTCCGCTGTGCTATTAAGCACTTTGTTAGAAGGACTTAGCATTCTGGAAAGATCCTTGGGCTATACTCAGCCCAGCAAGGCCTTCTAGACCTGGTTATGACCGTGGGTGGTGTTTTTGCATTTGTATGACATACTTTCACCCCCTTAAGAAAATGGAAATTTACCTTTTGCAGTTTTTTCCATTACAGTTGTTGGGGCCTGCTAGAGTAGGCCCTGTATAGGATATGCGATCTCGAGGGGTGTTTGATTCTCCGACGTCATGCTCGCGGATTAGTGACGCGATGTCGACCATGTCGGATGCACCTCTAGGCATTCGCCAATCAGCGCGTGCATGCATCACCCCCGAAACGCCCATCTGCTGCCACACAATCACCAGCATCGAACATATTCGTGGCGTGGTTCATTCCACGTGGCAGCCACTTTTTAGAGCCCTCGCGCCTCGTTCAAGTTCAAGGCCAAGATCACGGTGGGTGGAATGCACAAATTCCTCCGTTGCGGCAAAGTGCAGCACACCACATGAGACTACCAAACCAGAGCACAACGAACCGCATTGCACCACTTCCCCTAGCACCACTCGCACCTTACTCACCTCATACCCCACCACCGCAGCAGCAAGGAAGTCGCAAAAAGAGGAGATCACAAAACTACTAGCACGCCCATTCTGAGTCTCACCTGACCCACGCCACCTCTTCTTCGCCCTCCCTCTGCGCCAACCCGACTGAAAGTCCTTCGCCTATCTCGTGCCCCTAGTCCGCTGATTCGGATTTGTTACTCGACAAACGGCTGCTTGTTTGATAATCCAGAGCTGGTATCTGCACTGGCAATGGCGTCCCAGAAGCTTCCCGTTCAGGTGAGTCGCGGAATTCACGGTTCTCGTCGACCCGGCTCTCCGCCAGACCGATTCCGTCTTTCCGCAATGCTGCGTCATGCCGGTTGATGCCAGTGCTTCGTTTCGCTGTGAACTGAATTTGCAGGTATTTAACCCTAATGGAAGGTTCCGGGTTGTTTCGACAAAGCCAATGCCCGGGACCAGCTGGATTGACGCCTTAGTCGCCGCGGATTGCCGACTCGAGGTGCGTACATGCCGGACACGGCAATTAGGGGTAAATTTGATGCTGCTAGCCCGCAGCTCGGCGCGCTGTTATCTAACTTTCCCCTTGGCGCATCCATCGCTCTCAGCCATTCAATGGAACCCTATCCTCTTCTTCTTCTTCGGGATTCATTCACCCGAATTCGCTTCTCGCCTTCCCCTATCCCTCGCGACGTTGGTCCCTCGCTACGACAGATCTGCACGGCGAGCAAGACGATTCTGTCGCAGGACGACATCGCACAGCTCATCGGCGACAGATGCGACGGCGTCATCGGCCAGGTGCGTACAGCGAGCAGGTGCCTACTGCGTCTCAAAGGAGCGCGAACTTGTTTCAGAATGCAGACAGGAACGTGTATTTCTGGACAGACACGAGTGGATGGAGAATGAGTGAATGAAGACACATCCTCTCTCCCCTGATCGTCCGCCACCTCCCTTTCCCCCCTCAACAACTCCCCTCCGCCCTCTCCAACCCCAACCCCCCTCCCCTCACCCCATTCCCCCCTTCTCCCCCCGCCCCCGTTCTCCGCCTCCCTCTCCCCCGCAGCTGACGGAGGAGTGGGGTGAGCGCCTGTTCTCGGCGCTGCAGCGCGCGGGCGGGAGCGCGTACAGCAACATGGCGGTGGGTTTCAACAACGTCGACGTGGAGGCCGCCACCAGGCACGGCATCACCGTCGGCAACACGCCGGTGGGTGTCTGCTAAGGGACGACCTCCTGTTGCCAAGAGGCTAGACATGTGTTGAGCAACTTGCCGGTGGGGTTCAGTCACGGGGACGTGGAGTCTCCCTGCTCTCCTCCCTCTCGCTTCCCAACGCCCCTCGCCCCGCATGCCGCTTCTCATCTCCCGTCCTTCTCTCTCTACTCGCCCCTGTTCTCTCTCCTCGCTCGCACCTCTTTTGAGGCGCCTCAAAAGTTACCCCCTCCTCTCTCAATCTCGTAAAGCCCCTCGTTCTCTCTCCTCCTCACTCCCTTTCTCGGCACTCCCCAGGGCGTGCTGACGGAGACCACAGCCGAGCTGGCAGCATCGCTGACGCTGGCTGCAGCGCGCCGAGTGGTGGAGGCGGACTACTTCATGCGCGCGGGGAAGTACGACGGCTGGCTGCCCACCATGTGAGTTGGAGCGGGGGGTATGGCTGCACTGCGTGTGAGTGCGGCGTGGGGGGAATGGCCAGAGGCGCCAAGTGAGCATGTGGCTAGTGGAGGAGGCGGCTTACTTGATACGCGCGGGGAAATACGGCGGCTGGGTGCCTCCGCATGGGAGTGCTGGGAGAAGCTGGCTGCACTCCCGTGGTCCTGCTGCATGCCTCGCGTGTTCCTCATCCAGTCTGGCCCCTCCCCCCGTCTCCCTCCCTCTCCCACGTTCATCGGCAATCTGCTCAAGCAGCAGACGGTGGGCATCATTGGCATCCTTGCCATGACTGGCTCTTTCCGCTTCCCCCCGCTCATCATGCCAGGTTCATCGGCAACCTGCTCAAGGGGCAGACGGTGGGCATCATTGGCGCGGGGCGCATTGGAAGTGCCTATGCGCGCATGATGGTGAGATGGGGTGATGGGGAGATGGGGAGATGGGGAGATGGGGTGAGATGGGGTGAGATGGGGTGAGATGGGGTGAGATGGGGTGAGATGGGGTGAGATGGGGTGAGATGGGGTGAGATGGGGTGAGATGGGGTGAGATGGGGTGAGATGGGGTGAGATGGGGTGAGATGGGGTGAGATGGGGGTGAGATGGGGTGAGATGGGGTGAGATGGGGTGAGATGGGGTGAGATGGGGTGAGATGGGGTGAGATGGGGTGAGATGGGGTGAGATGGGGTGAGATGGGGTGAGATGGGGTGAGATGGGGTGAGATGGGGTGAGATGGGGTGAGATGGGGTGAGATGGGTGAGATGGGGTGAGATGGGGTGAGATGGGGTGAGATGGGGTGAGATGGGGTGAGATGGGGTGAGATGGGGTGAGATGGGGTGAGATGGGGTGAGATGGGGTGAGATGGGGTGAGATGGGGTGAGATGGGTGAGATGGGGTGAGATGGGGTGAGATGGGGTGAGATGGGGTGAGATGGGGTGAGATGGGGTGAGATGGGGTGAGATGGGGTGAGATGGGGTGAGATGGGGTGATGGTTGGATGGGGGTAATGGTGCTGAGATGGGGTGAGATGGGGTGATGGTTGGATGGGGGTAATGGTGCTGAGATGGGGTGAGATGGGGTGATGGTTGGATGGGGGTAATGGTGCTGAGATGGGGTGATGGTGTAATGGTGCTGAGATGGGGTGATGGTGTAATGGTGGTGAGATGGGAATGGCGTGGAGAGGGGCATGATGGCGAGCGAGCCACCGGTGGTGGGGAGAGAGGTGCGGTTGTTGGTATGAGTGAGGTTTAGGACGCCAGGTTAGCAGATATCGGTGGCAGGGATGATGGGAGAGAAGGTAGGAGAATGGGGAAGACAGGCATGGGCACGGTAGCAGGGAGTGAAAGCTGAATGGGCTATATTTATTGCCCTGCATGATTCCCTCTCCATCTCCCGCGTGCAGGTGGAGGGCTTTAAGATGAATCTCATCTACTACGACCTGTACCAGTCCAAGCGGCTGGAGGAGAGCGTCACAGGTGCGAGGGGAGCGAGGGAGGAGTGATGGGGAGTGTGAGGAGAGAGAGATTTCAGGAGAGAGTGAGAGAGGAGAGTGAGAGAGGAGCATGAGAGAGGAGAGTGAGAGAGGAGCGTGAGAGAGGAGAGTGAGAGAGGAGCGTGGGAGCGTGAGAGAGGAGCGCGAGAGAGGAGCGTGAGAGAGGAGCGTGAGAGAGGAGCGCGAGAGAGGAGCGTGAGAGAGGTGCGTGAGAGAGGAGCGTGAGAGAGGAGCGTGAGAGAGGAGCGTGAGAGAGGAGCGTGAGAGAGGAGCGTGAGAGAGGAGCGTGAGAGAGGAGCGTGAGGGAGGAGCGTGAGAGAGGAGCGAGAGAGGAGAGTGCTACAGATATGAGAATGAGGTGAGGCGTGCAAGACGCTGTTGAACATTAGCACACACTTCCCAGCATAAGTTCGCACCATGTGACACTGTCACGCCCCTGGCAATCGTTGCTCCCACTACTCCACACGTTTTTTAGCCCCACCACACCCAGTCCCACACTTCTCCTTCCCACTCTCACTCTACACCGCCAAAAGACGTTCGAGTGGGTACAAGCCTCTGTCACTCGATCTCCATCCCACTATTCTCCTCCTGCCCCCCCACCTTCCCTTCCTCCCACCAGCCTACTCGCGCTTCCTCCAATCACAGGGCGAGCCGCCGGTGACATGGCGCAGGGCGTCCAGTCCCGAGGAGGTGCTGCAGGTTGCTGACGTGGTAAGCTGCTGACGTGTACACTGTGGTTGGTGCTTGCATTTTTCTATGGATGGCAAACAGCAGTGACTGTAAGGACTAGCCTCGCATGTGGAGGCAGGGGCACGAAGAGCACATGCATATAGTTTCAACCACACATGATCCTACAACATACAGCCATGCTCCCATTCGCGTGTGCTCCTCTCATCTTTTCCATCTTTCTCTCCGTTGTCTCTGCTTGCCTGCTCCGCGTGCATCTCCCCACTCCCTTTTCTTCTGGCCCTGCAGGTGTCTCTACACCCTGTACTCGATAAGACCACCTTCCATCTCCTGGATGAGAGAAGACTCAACATGATGAAGAAGGTACGGGGACCTTACCCTGCCGTTTGCGACACTTGCAGCCGCGATTCATGCACAGCCGCACGCACTGCCCACCAAACCCGGCCGTTGCGTCGCACTGTTCCCCGCGTCCCGACAGCTGTCCGCCATGCCTCAGTCTCTCCGTCTCTTCTGCCTCCCCCCCGCTGCTCCCCTGCAGGACGCCATCCTGGTGAACTGCAGCCGGGGCCCAGTGGTGGACGAGGTGGCGCTGGTGAGGCACCTCAAGGCCAACCCCGCGTTCAGGGCAGCGCTGGACGTCTTCGAGGTGAGCGGCTCTCCAAGCCCACTGGCTGTCCAAGCCCACTGGCTGTCCAAGCCCACTGGCTGTCCAAGCCCACTGGCTGTCCAAGCCCACTGGCTGTCCAAGCCCACTGGCTGTCCAAGCCCACTGGCTGTCCAAGCCCACTGGCTGTCCAAGCCCACTGGCTGTCCAGTGCTGAGACGACCACCCATTGTGCTCCCACCGTGCCCACCCCCCTCCCTGCCCCCTCCTCTCACCTCAACCCCGCTCCACCCTCCCACCAGTTCTTCTGTTCTTATGCGCGCCCCCGGCCTGGCGCCCCGGTGCCCTCCGCACTCCCTGCTGCTCCCCCGTCCATTGTGTTCTCCTCTGCCTGCTCTCTCTCTCTGCATCTCTCTGACACTCTCATGCCTCCCAGCCTTTAAACCCCTCCGCACATCTCCCCGCCGCTCCCACTCCCAGCCTCTCCACCATCCCTTCTCACACCATCACGCCTCTCGCCGTGCCGCACATTGCTTCAAATCCCCCCTCCCCGGCCCCTGTCCATGCCTTGGTCTCTGGCAGGACGAGCCTCTGATGAAGCCGGGCCTCTCCACGCTCCCCAATGTGGTCGTCGTGCCGCACATCGCCTCCGCCTCGCAGTGGACTCGCGCTGGCATGGCTGCGCTGGCCGCACTCAACGTGGCGGTGAGTTCACAGCGCTATTTCAACAGTACCGCCGCTGGCATCTACTGGCATTCTCAGTCACCCATGAGCTCCCAACACATGGAGAATGGGTATAGGCACCTCTCCCCCACTTGACGATCTCATGCCACCTTTCCTCCCCTTGATTCCCAGAGCGCAATCCCAGTTCCGCGCATCCCCCTTTCTGGACTATTCCCTCTAACCACTTCCCCTCCCGCCTCACCACCCTCTGAACACGTTCATCAGGCGAAGCTGCAGGGCTACCCCGTGTGGCACAACCCCAACGATGTGCTTGCCTTCCTCGACCCCAATTGCCCGCCGCCCAAGGCGTGCCCCAGCATCGTGAACGCCAAGCAGCTAGGTGCGTGTGCGGGTGCACTGCATGTGGTGGGTGGTGCAAGGCATGTCCCAGCACTGTGAATGCTAAGCAGCTAGGTGTGGTTAGTGGATGGGGGATGGTGTGTGTGTGGTGGGTGCGTGGGATGAGAGTGAGTGCGAGGCGCGCCCTGTGAACGCCATTGCGCCAAGCATCTAAAAGCGTGGATGGGGGCATGAGACGTGGTGGGGGCATGGATTGTGATGGGTGCATGGCATATGAGTGAATGGGGCAGCTCGGGCCTCAGCATAGCCAACGCCAAGCGGCTAGCTGAGCGTGCGAGTGCAAGACATGTGATTTAGGGCATGATGGTGCACGGCATGTGGTAAATGCATGGCATGTGGTGGATGCATGGCATGTGGTGGATGATGCAAGGCGTGTTCCAGTGCATGGGATGTGATGGGTGCATGGAATGTTTGAGCACGATTTCAACGTCGATGGTTTCCAATTCCGTCCTGACAACCATACCCCCCCCCCACGCCCTCCCCTCCACAACACTCCCCTTCCCCCCCCACACCTCATCAGGTCTGCCCACAGCCACTCCCTCCAAGCTCTGATCCGCTAAAGTTACAGCAAAGGCCATCTCCATTATTATTTAGCCACTTCATTATCCTCTTTTTTTTCCTCACGAAAGATGGATATTTTTTTTTTCTGAAAATAGACAAAAAGCTGTGCATTGTTTCATATGCAATTGCACCTTCTTTCCAATGGAAGCGTTATAAAAAACTTGAACTGAAGGGCAAAGAATAATATCAACTTGATGTGAACACAAATCTCATCTACTGTTGGCCTGGTAACCAGAGCAGCTGATTATGTCACTTGCCCCTGCGCTCCTCCTCCCCCACCACCGCCTTGAGCTTCTCCAAAGCTGCAGGGGAGGAGGGGGAGGTAGGGCAGCTGAGTGAGGTGGAGAAAGTGCATGGAGGATGCAGAGCAGACGTGTCTGACCAAGTGAAGGGGAAATAGAAGCGAACTAGGAGGGAGGGGGGCTTTGCTCCGCACCAACCACCCCATGCACATGCGCAAGCACAAGCACAAGCACAAGCACATCCCCATACGCGCATGCACATCCCCATGCATATGCAAATAGTGGCACCACACTCCACAAACCATCACCGCACTGCACATACCAGCACTGCACTGCACCTACCAGCACTGTAGTGCTCCCTGAGCCCCTCCATGAGGTCCGTAGGCGCCTTGCCCTGAGTGCAGTCCGCACAGCCCACCTTAGCCAGCACCGCCTTGAAGTGCCGCACCTGGTTAGGGCAATCAGGGGAGCATGGGAGTATGTGTGGGGTTCAGGCATTATAGCAGCATGAGGTTGGAAGGAGCCTTCCTCCAGCAGCAGCCCGCCCAGCCAGCCTTGGCAGGCACTTGTTTGAAATGCTGCATCGAAGTATTTGAGAGCACGTGGGCATTGGGATGCGTGCGAGTGGGGTTACAGCATGAGGCGTTTTGAGGGCGCCTTGCTCTGAGTGCAGATGGGCGAGCCCAGCCCACCTTGGCGTTGACGTGACGCAGATGGGGGAGGGAGGTTAGAGAGGAGATGCAGTGAAAACAGGGGAATGGTAGCAACCCAAAAGTAATTTATTAGTCACAATTACCAGTCACATCTCAAGAGTATATTTACCACATTCACCACAAGCAGCCAACACACCTCTTGCTTCCTTAGAATGGTGTAGCAGTGCCCTGGCCTGCCTGCCCGGGCAGTTCGGCCTGCCCGATGCACAAAAGTTTTCGGGTAGACGGGGGCGTCGTAGCTGACGACGTTGAATACGCCCTCAACGTCCATGCCACGTGTCATGGCGTCACTGGCCACCAGCACCTGCACCTCTCCCCTCCGGAACTTGTCCAGAATGGCACTGTTTTTACATGATAGTAAGGGGCGGGAGGAAAGGGGCGAGGAGGGGGGTGGTATTGGGACAAAGCATGGCATGCAATGAGATGGCAGCAGCACCTGCACTTTGCTCCTTCAGATGCTGTCCAACACGGCACTGTTCATCGGTTCATGTGGTGGAAGGGGGGGGAGAGGGGGGAGGGCACAGACTTGACAAGCCACGAGCTGGCAGTGGGCGTGGCATGCAGCGAGATGCCTCCCGAACCTCCCTCCGCCGGAACTTATCCAGCATATGGAACCATGCCATGCCATGCCATGCCCTACCATGCCATGGGGCCGGTGCATCGAGTGAGTGGAACAACGTGGGAGAAATGGAAGGCATGGGAGCAGGTGAAGAGGAGAAGGCACATGAAGGCTGTGTATGGGAGGAAGGCAACGTGAGTGGGCCAAAACTGTCTCTGCAGCTCACTCACCTGCGCTGCCTCTGCGGCTGGCGAGAGGAGAACTCAGCAAAGGCGAAGGGCAGCGAGGCGGGCGGGAAGGAGGAGAGCAGCAGGAAGAGGCGGTGCGCCGCCTGCAGCGACGACGCAAACACCAGCGTCAAGCGCACAGCGCCCACTGCCCCTCTTGCGCCACCAGCCGTGATGATTCCAGCCTCCTCCGTCCCCCCTCCCCCCGCTCCCTCCCCTGCTGTGAGCTGCCTGAGCAGAGCCGCCAGCAGCAGCGGCTTGTCGCTGGCACGCGGACACACCTGGGAGGAAATGCAGAGGGGAGGAGTGAAGAGAGAAGCAATGGGCAAAGCGAGTGAACGAGGGAGGGGACGAGGAGAACACATGGCAGAGCTGCCAGCAGCAGTGGCTTGTCGCCGGCACGGAAACACACCTGAGGAAGAGCAGCGGAGTGAGGGAAGCGAGGCGGGTGCGAGGTGAGGGATGCTAGGAGGGAAGCAAAGGGCAGAGGAGGGAGAAAGGACAGAGAGGAGGAGGAAGGGAAGAAGCTGTTAGTGGAGTCTGGGCAAATAGCAGGAATCTGTGTGCGTCAGCCTGAAACAGTGACAAGACCGTAATTCAGACTACAGACTCCACTCACCGCACACCACTCACCAGCATAGATGTGGCCAATTGAGGAGGCAGGTGATAGTGCCTCACACCTCCCTCCTCCTCTCCCTCTTCCTCCCTCCCCTCATCTTCCATTCCACCCTTTCCTAGAGTAGCCACATCACCATCCTCCATTTCAGCATCTGCATCGGCAGCATCCACGTCAGCAGTGGTCCCAGCGGGGTGCGTGCCCCCTGCTGCCACGTGGCGGAGCATGGCAGAGGCGAGCAGGTGGGAGGCAGATGAGATGAAGAGCGGGCGGTGCAATCGGAGCCGTTGGATCTTGGAGGGGTCGCGAGTGAGTGTGGCGGAGCACACGAGCTTGATGACCCGATGGCGCTCCACGTTGGGCACGGCGAGCAAGGAGAGGGGGGAGCTGAGACAGCATTGGAGGGGGGGTTGGCGGGTGGGGGTAGGATAATGGGGAGGGGAAGCGCGAATAGGGATGGTGAGTAAACACGCGAGCCAGATCAATTGATGGCGCTCGATGTTGGGCAGTGCGAGGAAGGAAGGGGAGGGGCTGAGATGGTGTGGCGGAACACAGGGGAAACGAGGGGGAGAAGGGGGAAAAGAGGGGGAGGAAGGATCAAAAGCGGCAGAATGCACCGGATTGATCACCCGATTGTGCTCGGCGTAGGGGATGCAGAGGTGTGGTGAGTTGGGGGGAGGGGGATCAGCCTAATCCGGGTTACATAAGAAAGAATTTAAGAAGGAAACGGTGAGCTGGACCCACTACGCACAAAAAAGCGTAAAAAACAGTAGATTGGGCACTGTGGTGAATGCATGTAACCCACAGTTGCATTCTTACTCGGATCTTAAGCCATGGATGAAGGGATGGGGGAGGGCACCGCACGTGACTCCATGACCATGCATGGCGCCCACAAGCGGCATGCTCATGGCCACGTCAGCATGCACTGCTGACGTGGCCGCACCGCCAGCGCTGCCAACCACAGCCGCAGCAGCAGCAAGGGTGAGCGGCAGCCAGTCGTGGTAGGACTGGCGCAGCAGGCGATCCGCCTCGTCCACCACCTGATGCACGTGGGGGGGCACACACACACAGGGCGCGCGAGGTATGAAGGGTTGTGGAATGGTACAGAGAGGTGCAGAGGGGTACACGGACAGACAGACAGCAGCAGCAGCAGCAGCAGCGGGGGTGAGCGGCAGCCAGTCGGGTAAGCAGGCGATCCGCCTCGTCCACCACCTGTTGGGCACAGGCACATACACGACAGGTGAGCACACATGGGGGTGCACAGGGGGTGCAGAGGGGTGTATTGAGGTGTGCTGAGAGGTGCGGAGGAGTGATCTTTGAGCAACACAACCACACGAGGAGGGGAGTCGCTGCCCCTCACTTGTAGCTGACGCAAGCCAACGGCTACACCCAAGCCAGCGGCTGTAGCGGACTCACCAGGAACTGCAGGTGCGCCAGGGAGAAGCCCTCCGTGCCCCGCAGGTGGTCCACCAGCCGCCCAGGCGTCGCCACCACGATATCCGCCCCGCTACAGCCGCCGCCCCCATCATTGCTGCTGAGCCCACGGCTGTAGCTGAAGCTACTGAGGAGCCCGAGGGGACCAGAGGGGGTGGCGGGGTGCAGCACGAGGTGCGTTGCCTCGTCAGCGAGCGACGATTGGCCGTTGATGAGAGCCACTGAGAGGCCGACAGCTGGCGCGATGGTGTCAAACACGTGCTTCACCTGCAGAGGAAGGCAGTCGGGGAGGGGCGGGGCGGGAGGGGGGGGGGACGGGAGGGGGTGCACATTGGAGGCAAGAAAAGAGGGCAAGGTTGGGGGCAAGGTTGGGGGCAAGGGTGGGGGCAAGGGTGGGGGCAAGGGTGGGGCAAGGGTGGGGGCAAGGGTGGGAGCAAGGGTGGGGGCAGGGCAGGACTTTTAAGATTGCGGTGCTACGATTTGGTGAAGGGGGGAGGAGATGAGGACGAGACGAGGGGTGCAGGGAGGATAAGACGAGGATACGACCTGCTCCCAACAGTATGTGCGCACGACCACTACAGAAGCCAAATGAGCAGCAGGACAATATCGAGGTGACTTTTCAAATGAGCAGGACAATATCGAGGATATCAAAAGTCGCCAAATGAGCAGCAGGACAATATCTGAGCCACAGGACAATATCTGAGCCACAGGACAATATCTGAGCCACAGGACAATATCTGAGCCACAGGGCAATATCTGAGCCACAGGGCAATATCTGAGCCACAGGACAATATCTGAGCCACAGGGCAATATCTGAGCCACAGGGCAATATCTGAGCCACAGGACAATATCTGAGCCACAGGGCAATATCTGAGCCACAGGGCAATATCTGAGCCACAGGACAATATCTGAGCCACAGGGCAATATCTGAGCCACAGGGCAATATCTGAGCCACAGGACAATATCTGAGCCACAGGGCAATATCTGAGCCACAGGGCAATATCTGAGCCACAGGACAATATCTGAGCCACAGGGCAATATCTGAGCCACAGGACAATATCTGAGCCACAGGACAATATCTGAGCCACAGCAAGCCAACTCTCCGGTTGGCAGCACTACCAGCGCCCTCACTCGCCTCGCCAGCCGCCCAGTTCGAACCGAACCTGCACTGCTGGCAGCCATAACAACAGCGTAGCAGCATAGCAACCCACCTGGGCATCCCCACACATCTCCTGCTGGACGCACCACTAACGCTCTACCTCGCCCCTTAACCCTCCCAGCCAGGGCCTGCACCACGGGCAGCCATCGAAAGACAGACTGTGACTGTAACGACCCACCTGAGCAGCCAGGTCTCTGGTGGGCAGCACCACCAGCGCCCTCGCTCGCTGCACCACGTGCCCAGATAGGGCCCGCACCACGGGCAGCATATACTCCACAACCTTCGGAACCCACCTGAGCAGCAAGGTCTCTGGTGGGCAGCACCACCAGTGCTCGCACGCGCCGCACCACCCGCCCCGCCAGGGCCTGTACCACGGGCAGCGCATACGCCAGTGTCTTGCCACTCCCGGTCGGCGCACACACACACAAGTCGTGCGACGCCGCCCGCAACCCCTCCACCTCCTGCTCCTCCCCCCCCTCCCACTCCGCCAGTTCCCCCCCTCTCCTCCCCCCTTTCCCCCTATCACCAGCGCCCGCCCTCCCCCCTCCCCCATCCCTCCCCTTCCTGCCTGCTTGACTTGCATGGGCATGGGAGTGGGGGTGGTTACCAGGTAACCCCAGCAGCTCGCGCCACACGGTGGCTTGCACGGGAAAGAGATAAGAAATGCCGGCCGGAGCGAGGGCGTGCAGGAGGCTGTGGGGGATGGGGAGAGGGTAGGAGGGGAGGAGGGGAGGAGGGGAGGAGGGGAGGAGGGGAGGAGGGGAGGAGGGGAGGAGGGGTCAGGAAGGAAGAACAGTTGGGCTGCAGTGTTACAGTGAAGAAGAGAAAGCAACAAGTGCCAAGGAGGACCCCCATGAAAATGGCCACGAGCACCCAAGCAGCTGACCACCGTACCGCTTGTCTAGGTTCGGCACCGAGGGAAGAGGAATGGCATCAGCTGTGGAGCACTTCACTGGCGCTCTCATCCACGGCAGCACCGCCCCTCCTCCCCCCCCTCCCCCTGCCCCTGCCTCTCTTGCTGCTGCTGGCGCCTTAGCTGGCGCCTGACGCTTTGCCTCCGCACTAGCAGCAGCAGCAGCATCATCATCGTTCCCTTCCCTGTCTCCCCCTCCTACCCTCTCCCTCTCCGCATCTTCCTCCACAGTCTGATCTTCTCCCAACAAGAGATCTGCACCGTCCAACTCCCCACCCTTCTTCCCTCGCCCCTTGCCCTTCTTCTCCTTTTTCATTTTCGCCTTTCCCTCGCCATCCCCCAACCCCCCCTTCTGCTCCTGCCAGTCTTCCTGCTTTCCAAACTCCCCACCCATAAACCCCGAACCTTGGTCAAACCCTCCTCCGCCTCTTGCTTCTCGAGTCCCCTCTCCGCCTCCTCGCCGCCCCTCCCCACCGCTCTGCACCGAGGCATTGCTCGCATTCTCCAGTGCAAAACCCCCCACATCCTCCTGCCTTCGTTTCCTCCTCTTCTCCTTCCCACTGGTTCCTGGAGCCTCGTCAGCCGACTTCCCAGTTGCAACCCTAAACCCTGTGTTTGCTGCGAGCCCTGAACCCTCGCCGCGTAGTTCATCTCCTGCCTTGTCATTCGCCACAGCATGTGCGACATCGTGTAACTCTCCTGAAATTGTCGCATGCGCCTCTTCTGCGCGTCGCAATTCGCCTTTTCTTCGTTTCCTGCGAGCCGCTGTGCCGTCCGTCGCTTCATGCCCTGGGGCAGCGGGCGACGCCATGTCAGCAGCGTCAGACTTAACGTGGCCCACGTCAGCACGCTCAGCCATGGGCGCTGGTGCCTGAAGCGCCCTCGCACCAGCGCCATCCTGATCAGGTCCCGCAGATGCATCCTTCTTTTTCGTGTCACTAACGCTTCCTCCCGCAATCTCCGCAGCAACATTTTCATTCCTACCCCCGCCGCCGCTAACCGTCTCAACTTTGCTCAGCGCGGGGATCGCCGGGGCGGAAGCGGGTGTGCGCGGAATGGCGGGCGGAGGTTTGAGCGGCGGAGTGGAGTCGAGGAGGTAGGACGAGGGGAGGGCCTCGTGAAGGCCGTCCCAGCGCTTCACGGGAAACATGGCGGCGACCAAAGCTGACGCAGGGCAACGGCGGGCGCGCAGGCGTGCTGAAACGTGAAGGATGGCGCATCGATGAATACGTCGCACGGAATTGGAGACTCGAGGCTATGACTTGAGCTGAAACAGAGTGCAGCACGGAGGTGGTGGTGCTCGTCTGCTTCATTTGGAACCTTTCTGACCAAGTACCACTGCAAACGAGAGGTGCACCAGAAGGTTAACGTGGCACCTGACAAGGGAAACACAACGACGAGACCCACAGAGACGAAAATGGAAATGCATTTTGAAGAAACAAAAAGGGACAGGCGATAATTTGAAGACATACCTTTCTCGGCCTTTTGGCTAAGATCAAGTGTAGTATCTGTTCTTATCAGTTTAATATCTGATACGTGGACCATCGGTCCACATGATATTAAATTAATTTCTTTTGGGGGCAGGTGCCAATGGCCAGCTTGCTGGTCGGCCCTGCAAGCGTCGCCTCGGTATTGCACTAACTCCGGGGAAGGCGCACCCCTCCCCCAACGGGGGTCCAAATAAAAACTGAAACGGTATACGAGCCAAAGCTACAACTGGGTGGAAGAGAAAAGGCATTTCACGGCGAAAGAAACTGTAATGGATGTGCAAGAAATGAAGTCGCAATCAAGGAAGCGTCGCACGCAAACGGCATGCGAGGGACTCACACGATTTTGCTGCCTCTCCCCCACCCACCCCATAGAGCCGTTCACCATGCTTTTTCCAGGTGGGTGCATTCTTCCTGTCGTTCCGCCATTTGCCCTCCCCCTTCTTTCTGTTGTTTCCCATCCCGCCACTTTTACTAACTTGCTGCGTCGCAGAGAACAACTCACTTGTCGCATAACACTCGTTGCGTCCCATCGCGCGTCGTCACTTGCTCGAAATTTGTAACGTCAAGTAGATTCGTTTCTTCAAATCCCGTTCCCTCGTGTTCTGGCCGCCTCGTAGCTTCCGTTCCCGCGCTCTGCCACCATTCTCTAACGTTCTTTTTTAGGGACGACCTCGCGACATGCGAACAAGGTGATTAACTAAACTTAGCGCCCCCTTTCACACTCACAGCCGAGGCGACGACACCGCACGCGAAACTCACACGTTAAACGACACCGCTTATCGCCTTGCTCCGCGCTGCTCTTTCCGGCAGCTATTTATACTCAATTTTCTGCTTTATGGCTGCCTGACTTATTACATGCCGGTCTCTCTGGTCGCCAACCAGCCGCGTTGACCGCAACTCCTGGGATGAAACGGGCGTTGTCGAAGTGGCTTATCAGAAATTGGTCGCAACAGCAAACGGACGTCCATCTAAAATAGCCGTCCCCGCTCTGCTTCAAGGATATGCGTACAGGCTTATCGGCATGTGTACTAAAATTCTCTCTTGAGCGCCTGAAGTTCTATGATATTCATATGGAATCTCATTACTTGCTCGTCGTAATCCGCCACCCTCTTAAATCTGCCCACAACACCTACACCCTGACTGCTGAAGCAGCGGGATGGGGAACCCAAGCAGTCCGACTGACGCGCGGGAAGCAACCTCGTCACCCCTACCGAAATCGTGAGTATTCATGTAGTTTTAGTGGCTTTCAAGTGGTGAGCACGCATAGGGGAAAGGTCACATATGGTACCTCGCTTCCCTATCCAGCAGCCCTTTGTTTATAACTCTCAGAGGGCTTTTTTCGTCTCAACGCTCCCTCTGGTCTGCTCTCATGCCTCAAGTTCTCTCTCCCGTCTGCAAACATGTCTCAAATGTCTTCCCTCCGTCTGCCCTCATGCCTCAGATAACTTCCTTCTATCTATGTGCCGCCCTCCCTCAAGTCACTCCCTACCCTCCGTGCCCATGCCTCAAATGATGTCTTCTTTTCCGTCTATGCCATACTTACAAGAGAGAGAATATGAAAAAAGTTTTCTTTTATGCCCCAATGATACAAGTCACTCCCTTCCTTCTGTGCCCATGCCTCACATCGCTCCCTTCTTTCGTCCCCAACCCACGCCTCGAAAGTATTTCTTTCCTCCCACGATGACCGCAGCATTGTCATCTTGGGGCACGTTTTACCAGGAATGGTCATCTGCTCACTCTCTTCTCGATTCACGACATGCTATTGCGCCCATCACTCTATTTCCCACGTGTCCTGCCACAACTGATGCCTCCCCGCAACCTCGCCAGTTGTTGCCGTCTACATCACATTGTGAGTGGGGGGTGGGAGGGGACGGATGGGGGGTGGAAGTGAGCTCAGTGCACGGGTGGATGGGTGGGAAGGGATGGGGGAATATATCTCAACGGATAACCGACTCCGCCCAAGAAACGGTGTCTGCCCGAGGGAAAAAGAAACTAAAACTCTGGGGGGCCTGCATGGGACTCGGAGACGGCTTCAACCCTATTCTCTAAGGAAGGGCATGCCAGGTCGCCCAGGGTTTTTTTTTTTCTTGCCCGGGTCAGTGCGACGGGATTCGACGGGTGCGACGGGTGTCGCAGCCCGTCGAAGGCTTGTCCGTTGAGAATGGGGTGGGAGAGTGCACTGGTGTGGGATTCACGGCAGGTTTGCAGGGTGTGGAGGGCTGCATGAAGAGAGGCTTAATCGCCTGTGAATTTTATAACGGACAATTCAGAAATGTAGCCGCCCTAGCTCAGTTGGTAGAGCGCAAGGCTCTTAACCTTGTGGTCGTGGGTTCGAGCCCCACGGGCGGCGGCTGCTTCAGCCGTATCCTTGATGGCATCATTGCTTATTGAGCAACTGCTCGAACTGTTTTTTCACCCCACGAGTCAGCAGCCGTGTGTTGAGAAGTTCGGACTGCGCACAAGCTTGCCAAATGTTCCCCCCACTAATAGTGCCAACCTCCTTGGCACTGCTTGACGCCTGCTGATCAGGTCAGGGCCCTCTCCTGCTCCCTTGCCATGCGCCCTTTCTTGCCCCATTCCCCTCCATCCACCTCCCATCCCCACCTTTTGTTGCCCCTTCATTCCACTGCTGCGTCTGCAACCACCGCCTTTCATCAGCCCCTTCTCCCTTTCCCCTTCTGCCCTGCCACCTCCAACCTTCCCTCCATCCCTTTCCCCCACCTCCCTCTCCTTCCCTCCCTCTCTTGCTGTGCTCCCTCTCTTGCTGTGCTCCCTCTCTTGCTGTGCTCCCTCTCTTGCTGTGCTCCCTCTCTTGCTGTGCTCCCTCTCTTGCTGTGCTCCCTCTCTTGCCCCCCTTGCCTCTCCCCCTCTTGCCAAGACCCCTCTCCTGCCCCCCTCTCCTTTGCTGTGTGCCATCTTCCTGCCCCCCCCCTCAAGCCCCCTCTCCCGCCCCCTGTTGCCATGCGCCCTCTCTTGTCCCCCCTTGCCTCGTGCCCTCTCCTGCCCTCCTTGCTCTGCGCAGCGTGGTTGTATCTTCCCGCCTCGCCTGTTGATGCCACTCGCCCTGCAATGCATTCTCAAGGTGAGTTGTGGGAGGACAAGGATGGATGGGGGGATAGGTTGGTGGGGCGGATAGGAAGGTGGGGCGGATAGGAAGGTGTGGGGGATTGGAAGGTGGGGGGGATTGGAAGGTGGGGGGAGATAGGAAGGTGGGGGGAGATAGGAAGGTGGGGGGAGATAGGAAGGTGGGGGGAGATACGAAGGTGGGGGGAGATACGAAGGTGGGGGGAGATAGGAAGGTGGGGGGAGATAGGAAGGTGGGGGGAGATAGGAAGGTGGGGTTAGGGGGTGGAAGAACGGGAGAGGATGGATGATGAGAGGAAATGGGCAAATACGAAAGGATTGGCAGATGAGGATAACTGCAACAGCATTACTCGTAATAGTATTTTGCTCTCTTCTGCAAGACCATAGCCGCCCTAGCTCAGTTGGTAGAGCGCAAGGCTCTTAACCTTGTGGTCGTGGGTTCGAGCCCCACGGGCGGCGTCTGCTGTTGATGATATGTACATTCTTGCATGTACGCGTGACACCTTGTATGTGTCGCGAAGTTTGTTTAGAGGGATTCCTTCAATACCTTCTTTTTGCAGGTCAGGCCACGTATTGCCGATTTCCTTGGCAGTGCTGAGGTTCGCCACGACTCCACAGATCAAACCATGGCCTATGGGTCTGGGTTTTCAGGCATCTACTTGAAAAGAGAAAGCCATGCTGCCGCCTGCTGGTCAGGTCAGCGCCCCCTTGCCATGCGCCCCCTTGCCATGCGCCCCCTTGCCATGCGCCCCCTTGCCATGCGCCCCCTTGCCATGCGCCCCCTTGCCATGCGCCCCCTTGCCATGCGCCCCCTTGCCATGCGCCCCCTTGCCATGCGCCCCCTTGCCATGCGCCCCCTTGCCATGCGCCCCCTTGCCATGCGCCCCCTTGCCATGCGCCCCCTTGCCATGCGCCCCCTTGCCATGCGCCCCCTTGCCATGCGCCCCCTTGCCATGCGCCCCTTGCCATGCGCCCCCTTGCCATGCGCCCCCTTGCCATGCGCCCCCTTGGGGGGATTGGTTAGTGGGGGGATAGGAAGGTGGGGTTAGGGGGTGGAATAATGAAAGAAGGGTGATGGGAGGAAATGGGCAGACGGGAGGATATGGAATGGCAGATGAGGTTGACTGTGTTAATATTTTATTTTGACTATCTCAGTCTTGGAAACGCAGCCGCCCTAGCTCAGTTGGTAGAGCGCAAGGCCCTAAACCCTGCGTTTTGTTTTCCCGACACTGTTTTGGGAGACTCGCTCACTTCCCCCAGTTTTGCGAGTCAGGCCTGGTCTCGCCGATTTCATGGGCGTTGCTTTGGGAGGGCTAAAGTTGGCCACGAGCCCACAGATCAAACCGGACCCTTTTATCGGTGCATCGCCCGAACCATTCGCCCTGATCTGTGTCCATCGCTAACCATTCGAATCCATCTGTGCCCATCACTCAAACCATCCACTTTCATCGGTGCTAGGCAGTACGCCCATCTTTCCTCCCGCGTATCCAACCTTCTCGTGTTGCTTACTTGAGCAGATCAGGGCCTAGATCTCGGGCGCCTGCAGAAAATTAGAGGAAAGGAAAACAATCCTGCCACTTCCTGGTGAGGTCAGGGCCCTCTCCCACCCGAACACTCCTTGCCGTGCGCCTCCTCCCCCCTCTCCCACCCCCTGCCCCCCTTGGCATTGCGCCCTCTCTGCCGCCTGCCCCCCTTGGCATTGCGCCCTCTCTGCCGCCTGCCCCCCTTGGCATTGCGCCCTCTCTGCCGCCTGCCCCCCTTGGCATTGCGCCCTCTCTGCCGCCTGCCCCCCTTGGCATTGCGCCCTCTCTGCCGCCTGCCCCCCTTGGCATTGCGCCCTCTCTGCCGCCTGCCCGCCTTTGCATTGCGCCCTCTCTGCCTCTTGCCCCCCTTGGCATTGCGCCCTCTCTGCCGCCTGCCCCCCTTTGCATTGCGCCCTCGCCTGCCCCCCTTGCCGTGCTCCCACTCTTTCCGGTTTGACATGCACCCTCGCCTGCCCCCCTTGCCATGTGCCCTCTCCTCCTGCTATGCGCCCCCTTCTGCCCTTTTGCCGTGCACCCTCTCTTGCTGCCCTTGGCTTGGCCCTCCTAAAGCCCGAAGCATGGGTATCCACTCTCATTTTACTGCCTCCACAGTGCTGCCAGCTGTCGTTATCCTCCTACAGTGCTGCCAGCTGTCGTTATCCTCCTACAGTGCTGCCAGCTGTCGTTATCCTCCTACGGTGCCGCCATCTGTCGTTATCCTCATACAGCGCTCCTCCTGTGCTCCTGTTGATGCTGCCAGTGTGTTCCAGACTCACGGGATGTTGCCATTCACTTTCCGCTGCATTAAAAAGGTGAGCTGTGGAGGGATTGGTTGGTGGGGGGGAATGGTTGGTGGGGGGGGAATGGTTGGTGGGGGGGATGGTTGGTGGGGGGAATGGTTGGTGGGGGGAATGGTTGGTGGGGGGAATGGTTGGTGGGGGGACTGGTTGGTGGGGGGAATGGTTGGTGGGGTGAATGGTTGGTGGGGTGAATGGTTGATGGGGGGGGAATGGTTGGTGGGGGGGGAATGGTTGGTGGGGGGGGAATGGTTGGTGGGGGGGGAATGGTTGGTGGGGGGGGGAATGGTTGGTGGGGGGGGAATGGTTGGTGGGGGGGGAATGGTTGGTGGGGGGGAATGGTTGGTGGGGGGGGAATGGTTGGTGGGGGGGGGAATGGTTGGTGGGGGGGGAATGGTTGGTGGGGGGGGGAATGGTTGGTGGGGGGGGGAATGGTTGGTGGGGGGGGGAATGGTTGGTGGGGGGGGAATGGTTGGTGGGGGGGGAATGGTTGGTGGGGGGGGGAATGGTTGGTGGGGGGGGAATGGTTGGTGGGGGGGGGAATGGTTGGTGGGGGGGGAATGGTTGGTGGGGGGAATGGTTGGTGGGGGAATGGTTGGTGGGGGGAATGGTTGGTGGGGGGAATGGTTGGTGGGGGGAATGGTTGGTGGGGGGAACTGGAAGGTGGGAGAGGGGATGGAAATATGAGGGGGAAGTTGGTGGGAAAAATGAGCAGATGAGAAGGGGTGCAATGATATTTAAATACAACTGAATTTAAACCATCTTCTACCATGTCATAGCCGCCCTAGCTCAGTTGGTAGAGCGCAAGGCTCTTAACCTTGTGGTCGTGGGTTCGAGCCCCACGGGCGGCGGCGTTACGAGTGTTGTTAAGTGTTTGTCTTCTTTTGTTTGCCTTGCCATTCTGATGCCCCCCTCGTTTGACCCTTGTGTCTGTGATTCACCAACCAGCATCCCAGCAGCATCTTGTGTGTTGGCAGTAACAAGCTTCTACATGGCAGCAAATGGTCGGTCTTCAGCCAGCATGGCAGCAAATGGTAGGTCTCCAGCCAGCATGGCAGCACATGGTAGGTCTCCAGCCAGCATGGCAGCACATGGTAGGTCTCCAGCCAGCATGGCAGCACATGGTAGGTCTCCAGCCAGCATGGCAGCACATGGTAGGTCTCCAGCCAGCATGGCAGCACATGGTAGGTCTCCAGCCAGCATGGCAGCACATGGTAGGTCTCCAGCCAGCATGGCAGCACATGGTAGGTCTCCAGCCAGCATGGCAGCACATGGTAGGTCTCCAGCCAGCGTGGCAGTAAAGAAGTTTCCAGCCAAGCAGGCCTGCCAGCAGTGCTTCATGCAGTCTACCTGGAGGCACTTCCATCAGTCTCCTTGATTTTCACCTCATTACCTTGTCACCCAACTCCCGCTCCTTCCAGATCCTGTCTATTGGCTGCAGAAATACCAATTGACGGATCTGTATACTTGTTGCTTTCAGCATGAGAATATACAAAACAAGTAGTGCTCATTCGCCTCAGCTGTCCACATCACCTCTTACGAGCTGCTGGCCTCAATCACTCACCAAATGGCAATTTCAATCCCCTTGTGTGTGCACATGGCATCTGCACCGCAACTACTTTCCAGTTCAACGTAACCAAGGAGTGGCTGTCACAAATCTATCCCAAATGTTGGAATAGCGAAGGAAAAGGTGTGACTAGGAAGGGGAGAGGGGAGATACAAGTAGAGTGTTATCCCCTCTAAGAGCTGACCTAGTTAGGCTATATATATGTATACATAGCAATATATGTTTGTTGACACACCCCCTAGCCTAGATATAGGCAGCGTTTAACGAACCAGGGAAGCACTACTAGTATAACCTCTTGTGAAGGTAGCAAGACAACTCAGGGCAGCGCTGCTAGTTTGACCACTGAGACAAGAGGTCATAAGGCCAGTCAACAAGTGTACCAATGCATGCAGGTATAGCACAACAAGTACAAGCACGTATAGAATATATCAGGATACGAAGAGTGGAACTGCTACTGAGACTACACCAAGCTGAGTACAGAACCGCTGATGGTCACGAGGCGGTAGTGCCTTGGTGAAGATATCAGCGGTGTTGGCCTCTGTGGCCACGTGTACTACACGAGCCTAACCGCGCTACTGCAACACACGCAACAGGAAGTAACGCAGCTGGATATGCTTCGCCCTGCCCTCAAGCCGAGCCTCTAGACACAGGAGGATCATGGCCCTGTTGTCAACAAACAGGATTGGGGCAGACCTAGGCAGCTCACCTAAGTCAGTGAGCAAGAACGACAGCCGGCGCAGCTCCTGGCCGGCCATGGCCCAAGCGTAGATATTTGCCTCACAGCTGGACTGAGCTACAGACGACGACCTAGTGGACCTCCACGAGATTGCACCAGCACCAAGACTAAAGCAGTAGCCCTGGGACGACCTGAGCGTCTCCAAGTCATCAGCCCACGATGCGCCTATGCGTCCAGTGAGCACCACTGCCTCCCGTCCTCCTAGCACAAGCCTCAGTCATGATGTACTCGCCAGATACCGCAACACCCTTTTGGCAGCCGACTAGTGGGCTGGTCGATGGCTGCCTGTCGCAACAAAGCGAGCCAAGAGACTGAGAGGGTATGCTGGTCGAGTGCAGGTCATCAGGTACATGAGGCACCCCACCAGCTCTACAAATGGACCACTAGCCTCGACCGGCTCAGCCGGAACAGGGGCAGAGAGCTTGTGATCCACATGCAGAGGGATGGGCTGTACTGAGGAGAACTGGAAACTGAACATCTGGAGGATCTGCTGCACCATATGGGACTGGGAGAGTGTGATCGTGCAAGCATCACGGTCACGAGAGATCTCCAAGCCCAGATAGGGCCTCAGCACCCCCAGATCCGTGCAGGCGCCTTCCCTGAGGCCAGTGCGACTCTGTCAGGAGTAGCAAAGATAAAATCGTCTACGCACACTAGGATGTAGAACAGGGTATGACCAGTGCGAACAAAGAGAGAAGGGTCAGCAGAGGAGGGGAAGAAATGTAGCTCAACGAGTGTGGTGCGGAGCGTGTCGTGCCACTCACATGGCGCCTGACGTAGACCATAGACAGGGCAGCCCAGGTACCATTGGGTCCCAGGTGGGAAGGACCCAGAGAAGCCCACAGTGGGCACCGGAGGAAGATCTGCTTGTGCAGGCTACCCTGCAGGAAGGCTGTGGAGAAGTCAAGTGAGTGAAGCTTGTAGTCGCGCTGCGCGGCTAGATGGAGGAGCACCCGAAGAGTTCTCATTTTCGGAGTAGGAGAGAAGGTGTGGAAGAAGTCCACACCCTCTCGCTGACTGAAGCCTCTAGCTACGTAAAGCACGTTGAAATTCGGCGACTCTCCAGGTGCGCGCTCCACCCTATAGATCTACCTGCCATCGACTATGTTCACCCAGGCGGAGGAACTGCGTCGACGTAAGTGCCTGTAGATCTGTAAGATGCCATCTCAGCCTCCATGGCCTGTATTCACTGGGCTGCCCAGGGCCCCGACACCGTCTCAGCGTAAGAGCGTGGGACAGGGATGTCAAGTGCGTCTGGATCGCTGTCTGGGGATACAAGCATGGAGCAGAGTTGGGGTACAGCGGCAACAAGGTACGCCAAGTCATACTGCCTGTCCTCTAGCACGTCACTGCCAAGGGCAGGCGCACCGCCGACGGACGGAGGACGGGCAGTACCAAATACCAGAGCGACAGCGTAGTCAAGGCGGAGGCTAGCAGCAAAGTCAGCGACAGCAGCGACAAACAGAAACAAACTCAAGTGGAGCCAGAGGGTTAGTAACAAGCGACGCAAGCCAGCGCGAGAGGACTGGGCGAGCAGTGCGAGCAGAGTCAGAGGGAGGAGCAGGAGACGACGAGAGCAGGGCACAAGTTAACAGGGTAACTACCTTGTCTTGACTGAAAATCCAAGGTTTTTCCTAGACCGACCCTGTGGTTTCCTGGGTTTTTCCCACACCAGCCCTGAAAGAATCAAGGAGATTTCTCTACTGACCCGACGAGTCTAGGAGGGTTTTGAGGGGACCCGGACATCTCCAGGGGGTGTAGGAATATCTTAATGTCCCACCCTTACCTTCCCCAAGCTTGGGGAGAGTTATTTGGCAGCAGGGATCGTACAGCGGAAATTCGAACAGTTGTAAAGGTTCTTCTTCTTATCCGTGTGTTGCTGTCGTTCTTATGCGGTTCAGTGCGGTTAGAGTTTGTACAAGCATTATGGGGCTAGAAATTCACCTGTATTTCCACACGTACTACTAGATCAAAATGAGCTGAGACGAACAATTATTCACGCCACTCAAACTCACCCCCGCCCTAAGCAACCCCCCCCCTCCCCCACCCCCTCCCCAACCCAAATTTAGCTCATTCAGGCGCGTGATGCATTTGCAGTAATGTACAAGTGTTGGTGAGGGGGCGGATTTCCCACCCCGATGTCTGGTCCCGCTAAAATTGGCCACTCTATCGGGCCTTTTCGAGCGCGGACTCTCAAGAAGCAGGGTAAATCTCTTACAAAATCAGAATTTACAGGGTGGCATTTCTAGGGACCCGGGTCGTACGAGGTGGAAAAAAACCTAGCGAGAGCCCTGGATGGGAGCAACAATTGGGGGGGCAACAGGAGGACTGGAACAAAAGGAGCACACAGAGGAGTGACCATAGGGTAGACACTAGGACGAGGAGAGACAGGACGAGCACCAGAGGGACGACGGACCCAGTGGTGAAGAACATGTGACAGGGGACGAGGGGGGAAGGGGGACAAGTTAGGGGATGGAGGAGAGCGCGGGGGGAAATGAGCCAGAGAAGATTCCGAGGGAGGGAACAACAGGTCGTAGCAAGGTCACGCACCGGAGGAGGGACGGGCGGTCGGTCAGGGGAACCGGGTGCAAGACCAAGGAGATGAAGAGCAGACTGCTGCTGTTGCTACTACTGCTGCTGCGGCGGCTGCTGCAGCTGCTGCGGCTCCCTGTCCTCTCCATGGCCTCCAGCTGCACCTCAGCTACCACCGACACTCCCCGAAACAGCACCCCCAGGACTAGCACCCTCGGATGCACCACCCACAGAACCAGCACCCCCAGAGTCAGCACCCCCAGAACTCGCACCCCCGGAATCAGCACCCCCAACACCAACGCCTCCAACACCAGCACCTCCAGAACCAGCACCCCCAGAGCCCACTGCCCCTTGCTGCTGCAGCGGCCGCTGAGTCAGCTGCGGCTGCTGCTGGGGTGAGGGGGGAGATGGCTGAGGTGCCTGGGGTACCAGGGCTGGGGGAGGCGCAACATGGACAGCAGGTGCGCTCCCAGCAGCTGGCCTCCTAGAGTCAGCAGACTCCCCCACACGCCCGACCGAGAGGAAAGGAGTGGCGTGAGAGACACCAGACGGGGTCGGGCGGGGTGGGAGGGGTGCGACAGGCGGGGCAGGGATGAGGAAGAGAGGAGGAGGAGGCACCGCAGTGTTGTGGTGAGGGAAGCACTTGTATTAGGGGTGCGTCTCATTGAAGGTAACGTTACGAGAGCGGTAGAAGCGGTGGTGGACCGTGTCATAAAACAACCACTCAGGGGCATCAAGTGGAAACCCAGGAAGACCCATGGACGAGAGCGGGCTGAGAGCTTGTACGTGCCAATGGCACGGACGTGAGCAAGGCTACCTCAGACGTGGAACGCAGCAGTGACACCCCTAGACCTGGTCCATAGACGGGTCGACGAAACCTGTGATCGCTGGGAGCGCAGCTACAGGTTAAGCTAGTGAGCTGCGTAGCGCACGACAAACGACCACCGAAAATGGGGTGGACTGGCGTGGACCAAGGAAGTGCGAGCTACCTCCATGACCAGGCCCATGCGTCGCTCAGCAATCCCATTCTGTTGTGGGGAGTCCGGCAGTGTGTACGTCTGGCGGATGCCCTCCACGCGATAGAACTGACCTAGAGTGCCAGAGGTGAACTTGCCACTACGGTCAGAGTGTAAACAAACTACAGGCAGGCAGTGCTAGGTGCGAGCGCCGAGCAACCACGGGAGGAGAACGGTTAGCATGTTGGCCTTCCGCTCCAACTGGAACACAGTGGTGTAGCGCGAGATGTCGTCAACGATGACTAGATGGTAGCGCTCCCGACTAAGACCATGGACCGGGGTAGGGCCCCAGACGTCCATGTGCTGTGTCTGTAGCAGCTCTGTGGTAGGAGGAAATGAGGAGAAGTGAGGGGCGGCATGCTGCTGGCCCTCGACGCAGGAGGTGCACAGTGGTGCTACCAAAGCATGCACGGCCAAGAGTGATGCAGAGAGACTCGTAACTAGACCGTGCTGGGACATGTACATAAGACGCTTGAGTGCAGGGTGACCTAAACGGTCGTGCCACAAAAGGGTTGGGTGGGTGAGGGAGCGACAGGAGCGTGACGCGGCTACCTCAACAGACACAGCAACTGGCGATGACTCAGTGTGTAGGGTGAAGAGACCGGACGCTGGGTCACGCTCAAATGTGGCTAGGTGGCGACCGGCGGCTGTGTCAGTGCTAGGGAACGTAGTGGTGACGCCTCGGCCCTGGAGGTGACCAACACCCACTAGGTTCCTGGCAAACGAGGGAGGGAGTGGTGGTACTACGTGCGATAGCTGTGGCTGCAGAGTGTGCTGGTGCGACGCGAACAAGGGCAGGAAGCAAGGTGAGAGCATTACTGTCTCTAAAGAAGCAACGAGATGCGTCTGAGTCGCCGTAGGACGGGCAGGGGAGGAGCCTAGGGGACACGTAGTAGAGGCTCCTAGTCTAGACAAAGTAGTGGGACCTAGACCCCCAGGCCCTTAGGCTC